GGGGGTAGAGAAAAAAAAGGGGGGAGGGTGAGTAGGTATGTTTTACCTCTAAACTTGGTTTTTACAAAGGCCTGGTTTAAATTCTTAGACATTGTGTTCCCATTTATCATCGGTCAATTGACCAAATTTAGACGAAAACGCTTGAAAGGAAACAGTGAATTGAACAGAAGTTAACAAAAGAAATGAAAGCTAAGAACCAGAAGAGCAACCTCCCCAATTGAGAAAATATGTGAATGTAGGAAGGTGAACAAAAATTACAAAATGAATGAATAAAATAAGAAAAGGGACGAAAGGCGGAGCTGTGTTCGAAAGTGAGAGCGGGGTAGGCACAACAGGAACAAAAGAAGCGGGAGAGTTCAATGAAAGGACAGAGATTTCAAAGTGACGCGGTGATGTACTCTAGGTGGTGACAGTCTCACGCCCGTGTGGCGTCAGACAAAAAGACAGACAGACGTATACTTCCAGCTCCTCATTCCTCACGAGAGCCCCCCTCCTCCTTCTACCTCCTCCTCCTCCTCCTCCTCTTCCTCCTCCTCCTCCTCTTTACGTGGGAACCGTCGTAGCCTACACACGACGAGTCCACGACGTAGTAAGCTGGCATGGTGGCACAGGCCGGCATTCGCCGCTGACGACTTTGTGAAGTGGGTAAACACAGACACACTAAATTGCTCCCCTCCCCGGCTATTTAGTTGCGCGGTGGTCACACAGTCACTCATCAGATGTTTCTCTCAAGATGTGACATTGCATGCGATATTATTTCCCTTGCAGCTTTGTGGATCGTACTACGAATTTTTTGTTTGTATAAATTTTGGTTGGAAATTCTTGCCAAGTAAGTGTAAGCGTATATGTTTAATGCCCATTTGAATACTATTAGGTTATTTAAAAGCTTTAGAGACCCCCCCCCCCCCCCCGATTTTATGTCCTTCGCCGATAAGACCGAGCCAAACGAGCCTTAAAAACTCCCCAAAACGACCCGAGTTCAAGAATACCCAGTCTGGGATTCGGACCAGGCCATCCGGCTCGTAGACCAGCATGATACCAACTGCGCTAACGGATCTCCCAAATTCTTGTCATTGTAAAACTCATATAGATCTAGATATGAACGGTCTAGTTTACTTCTTTTTTTCCACAATATTTTGTTGGTTTATTGAAGTGCACTATTTATTGATGGGCTCAACTGTGGTGTGAGTGACACTGTTTGTTGATATTGTCTTTGTAACTTCATGTTTGAGATGAGATGTGTAAATTCTACTGATGCCGTCGTTATTGTTACTGTTAGGCCATGGTGGTGGTGCTGGTGCTATCATTAAATTATCATCATCATCATCATCATCATCATCATCATCATCATCATCATCATCATCATCATCATCATTATTATTTATTATTTTTATTATTGTTGTTGTTGTTGTTATTATTATCAACATCATCATCTTCTTCTTTGTGTTCCCCGTGCTAGATCTCAAGAGTAGTCAGCTGGTTTTGATTTTTACGTATGTGCCCGTTTTTCGTTATCTAAGAAACCCGCTTGAGGCAGCCACATTCTGATTTTGAAGGTACTATTTGTTTTTATACTGACTAACGTATTTTCAGTTTTTGGTAGGAATTTATTTTTGAAATTTGCCCGAGTGGCGGCCGCAGCCTATTGTTATATATATCGATTTTAATATATCCGGGTGTCTTTAACGTGCGCAATTTGCAGACGGGACCTCCGAGATTTTTCGCACTCATCCGAGAATGCGAGGTGTTCGATCTTTTCCTTTCCTTCCCGAAGACCAAAGGTGTGGCTTAAAGACAGCATTATAGCCGTCGGGAGTAGTATTAGAAAGTCAGGAGTAAAGGAGAGGGGAGTCCAGATGAGGAGGCCGG